TGCGTTCCACTAATACTTGGGGTTTATGGTTCCAAGGTACTCAATATTTTTAAAACTTGCTCTGTTTAGCCCTACGGAATGTATGCAACCTCTGTTCTTTTATCTTATGTGCTAGTCCCTTTATGATGAATATATATAAAACAATAAACTTTAACCAAGGAAAATGAAATGAAATTTGCTAAATCAAATGTCATAGTACAAAAATATTTTTTTTATATAATTTAAGTACGCGTAAATATTTTGATCCCAAATCTTTTTGTCGTCCATCACGATTTACTTCATCCCAAATCTCATAAACATGGTTAGGTTATTGAATTTTAAAAATTATATATGTCGCAAGTGAACTATAGCTAATATAAATTCCTTATGTTACGTCGAGTGTCAAGCCACAAAGAGACTAGAGATCACTAGAATATTACCAAGTTCGAACATATATAGGACGAGCTAGTTTTGTTTTGGCGTTGATGAGGAAAAAAGTGCAACTATGAATTAACAAAGGATAAAGCAATGAGGAGAGGGCTCTTTTAGCTTTTGAGATCATTTAGGCGATCAATTCCTTCTAATGTATGCACAAAATTCAAATCAATATTTGATAGTTTAATATCTCTATATTCCGAGGAAAATGACAAGTTTTATAGAAAGCCCATTATTAGGGGTTGTAATATATCTTAATTTGTTAAGAACATTGGACGTTAACCGAAGATATGAAAGCAAAACTGAAGATATGAGCAAGAGTTCAACACGTTTTCCAAAGGACTGACTTCAAAAGTGGAGGCAACACGAAAGTTAACAAGTATAGTGGCAACGTTGTTGCTAACAAGGAGATGAGCAACACAATAAACACAACAACGTAACAAAAACAACTATGATAATGGAAATATGAATTTGGCTGTTGACAAGAGGTTTAAAACCCTTCCTGCATGCTTCGGAGACGCTTCCAAGGAACAAAGTTCTTGCTGGTTACATCATTGTTTGTACTTGCACTTGATTATTGTTGAGTCTTTTTAATTATGGTTGTTTGATTTGTAGTATCATTGATTGATTGATCAACAGATTTGGTTACAAATCTGGAGTAAATAATTAAGTAATAAAACAGAAAAGAAAAAAAAATGTCCACTTTTACCGTTATACATTCACACTCATTATTTTTACCGTACCACTACGTTATCACCGATCGATACAAACATCTTTGTCACATTATGAGTCATTTGATGATAGATACATATATAAATACGACGATAAGTTATAGAAATAATAAGAAAAAAGGACTTGAACATATAAGCATAAGTAGTATAAGTTAAACCAACCGCTACAAGTCGAACAGAAAATTCACCATATGGAAGAGAAGAAAAGCACCCCCGACTCTTCTTCTTGGTCTTGTTCACGTCCCCATCGAGATGCTAATTTGGTACTCCTCTTCTTCAACTTCCTCTTTATCTTCTTCAACCTATTCTTCGATTTTCTGAAATCAACTTAAGTCTTTTGTTGCTCCTTCACCATGGAAGAATAGCATTCTTCGGATGAGAATCAAGAGAAGCCTGATCTACCTCCAAACATCTTCACGTCTTTGGTTGTATCATGACAAATAACCTAACTCCTGCTTGAGACCAGTGGTAAAGGATAACATGGGGTCAAATTTGGTATCGACAAGACGCTGTTGAATCAAATGGACCAATGTATTTATACACTTGGATGAATAAAAAATACGTTGAATAATAAATACATTCATCTAAAAAATGCACTATTTCGAGATGGAAAAGTGTTTTAACTCAATTCAATCTGTGCAAATGCTTCTACTCGTCAGAATGACATGTCTTCACTAAATTGGATATAACTCTTAAATGGACAATTTAAATCTACTTCAAACCACTTAGAAATGATCATTCATCTACTATTTTGAAGCCGTAGACAAATGTATTGAGGATGCTTACCTTTAGTGTATGTTCTTCACAAGAGAGATGTGTGGTGAAGTTTTCAATGCTTTGGCCAGAAAAATAGCATAGTCTGCAAAAAAAAAAACAGGCAGATTCATCCGCTGTTTCACTGCACTTGTCCATGAGAAACTGTCTTCTTGCTTCTTGTTGTTTATATCCATAGACTCTGAAAGTAACTTTTCCCAGCATAACCCTACAGGAGTGATTAACCTAATGTCAAATCCATTTTAATATGGCAGAAAATTATCAAACAGGTTTAAGCTAACATGTCATAGGCTAAGATTATTTGGTGTTTGATCGCATTTGAGGTTTTGATCGTATAATAATCAGATAATGGAAATTGTTGTTAGCAAATGATTCCTTATGGTTAATTTGTAGGGTTCTTATAAAATGGTTGAGGCAACGCCTGCTTTGAGGAAGCCCTGTGTTCACCAATGTTAATGAGCTGAGACCATGAACCAATGGTTACTCGCTGAATGGAGAGTTGTCAACCTGAAGATGGTGATGCAGAGAGGAGGAGGAGGTCGTCCCATGGGTCCTTAGGCACGTCAGATGCGGATTGCGGATTAATGTTTAGTTGGTGATGAGATTGGAATCGACCAAGGTGAGAGAGTTCATTTTTTTGTGGTGGTTTTTTAGACGCTTAATCGGTTAATCCTAGTACCCTTGTAGATTTTGGATTATGATTCATAGTATCCCAAATTGTTGGTTTTAGTAGAATTGAAGCTGAGATATATAAAACTTGACATGATTTAGTCTTGATGCATGTGTTTAGGAATCGGATTAAAGATAAACAAATGTTTCATTAAGCTCACACAATTTATTTCATACATCAAACATAGATGTGATATTCTCATTCATAGATGTTATCTATGCGATGAGGATCTTCAAAGCGTGTTCAAGGACACTTGGATTCGCCCTTAGAGTTTTTCAAATCACGGTAGCAAGGACATTCATCTTTGTTTCCATAAGTGCCCGAAGGAACACAATTACACTTCTGGCAACATATATTGCAGTCCTTAAGGCACTCCTCATGTTGTCGATCAGCCTTTGAGCATCTCACATCGCACTTTCCACCGCATGCTGCTAATTCATTTATCATCATCACAAATCAAATTTCAGAAAACTAGTTTCAAATGATAAACAACCAACTAGATTAAGTATACTCTTACATGAATCAGCGCTTGAAAGTACAAAAAATGATGATGTGAGTAGAAGAGAGATTATGAAGAATTGTACAACCACGAGCATCTTCATTTCTGGTTAAATTTTAAAGCTTTCTCCTTTTTGATAGAGTTATTTACGTAAAAAAGAAATTAAAAAACTTAAAAGATATGCGAAAAGAGAGTAGTGATGATGAAATGTGGCTACAAAAGAGGACTACTTATAGTGAGAATTTGAAGTGAAATGTTTGTTATTGTTGTCCAATTTAAAGAAAAAATTACAAATAAAGATTTTATACTTGTTATGTCGATATACTATTTTCAGAAAATAATATTCACATAAAGAAAGAAAAAAAAAGTTTCACATACAGAATAAACACGTAGTATTGAAAGATCTTTTTTTTTTTGTAACGAGTATTGGAGCATTTATGAATTGTAAAATTTGTTCCTTATAGTGCATATTTATTTCTCCAAATTATATTTTATATCATGGTAAAATCCTTCTTATTTATTAGATGAGGGTTGAAATAAAATAATTAAATACTAATTAATTTATTTTTTAAGATTTTGTATTATATCCTAGGATTTAACCCGCTGGACAAATAACATATAAAATTAAAAATTATATAGAAAATACCAAATAAACTAATAAAAAGGACTCCTAAGTTGAGAAATTACAACGCAAAAGAAAAAAATGTTCTTCATCTTCTCGTTTGCCTCCAACAAATTTTAACTTGCTTTTGGGAATGTTGATTCATAAAATCAAAAATCAAAATTATTTTAAGAAATTGTTAAGGTTTCCATATAATTATAGGATTTAGCCCATGGAATACCGCGAGATCAATTTTTTATATTATCATAATTAAATCAATTAATTCGACATATCTAATATTCTAATATTGGTGGTGTTGACAAAATTATAAAATGATGAAACAACACGGGTTAATGATATTTTGAATTTAAACTAATATCGATACAAATCCGTTCCGAAGTAATTTAAACCTTTTATAAGTTTAAACGTTCATAATATTTTAACCTTGTTATAAAGTTTAAATATATATCAATAATAATAAATTAAACTTTTTAAAATTTATAAATTTATTATATCCAGTATAATTAAACGGTTCAACTAAAGAACTGAATTAAACCGATATAAACTCTTAAATTTGGATGCTTGTTAAGTTAGAGTTCATGCTCACTCGGGTTTAGATTCAATTTCGTCTTATTTATAATATGACTCTAAATTATTATTTAAAAATTTAGCTGAGGTGGGGTGAACACACTTTTTTCTTCATTAATTGAGTAATATATGTTAGTTTTTAAAATTCGAATCACAAAATATGCAAAAAAAAAAAAGATTTTTATTAACTTCCTGTATTATATGATGATTTAAAATATTTTAAAATCAAATAAAGATGATAGGATAAGAACCTTATGGGTAACCATTCAGTGAGGTGGTAAGGAGTTATGATAAGAACACTTACACATAGAATATTTAGGAACCAATAAACTTATTTCATTGCATTTAAAATTTATTTGACAACACCATACCAAAATACAACCTAAAGAAAGAGTAGACACAAATATTAATTCATCACATCTACGCTCCAATCTTTTTTCCTCCTTCTTTTTCTGATAAAGATCTTTGCTCAAATATGGTTACCATTATCACCAGAAACGTCGCCGTTTTCCTCTGTTTCCTTCTTCTTTTTGTGTTCTTCCTCTGCTTTCTTCTTCTTCCTCCTTGCATCCCTCTCTGCTTTCTTCTTCTTTTCTTCCTCAGCCAACTTCCTTGCTTTCTCCTTCTCTTCCTCCAAAGACTTAACCAACCTCCTAAGGCAAATATCTGCATCATCTTCATCAGATTTCGGCATCAAATTCTCAGCAACATCAGCCGGAGACATGTCAACTTCCTCCACCAACCGCTTGATTTCTCCATACAAGTCATGTGACTCAATCTCCAAGTAGTTCTTAGCCAAAACCTTAAAAGCTTCAAACCTACAATAAGACATCTCAATATGGTTGTCCATTCTTCCTCTACGTATCAATGCCGGATCAAGCTTATCCAAATAATTCGTCGTAAACACAATAATCTTCTCTCCACTACAAGCTGACCACAACCCATCAATGGCGTTTAATAGCCCCGACAAAGTAACCTTACTCTCTCTCTCACCTCTTTCTCTCTTCAACAACTTCTCAGCTTTCTTTTCTTCATCCTCTTCATCCTCATCTTCCTCCTTCTTCTTCTTTCTCTGTCCCGTAAGATCAAGCGAACAATCAATATCTTCAATCACAACTATAGACTTCCCTTTTGTATCCAACATTAGCTTCTTTAACTCCGAGTTATCCTTCACAGTCGTCAACTCAAGATCATACACATCATACTCCAAGAAATTCGCCATTGCGGATATCATCGTCGATTTCCCTGTCCCGGGCGGTCCAAACAAGAGATAACCGCGCTTCCACGGCTTCCCAACCTTCCTATAGTAATCTTTCCCTTTAGTAAACTTTATCAAATCCTTCTTAATCTCTTCTTTCTTCTCAAGATCCATAGCCAAAGTCTCAAACGTTGCCGGATGATCAAAAGGAACGTTGCTCCATCTTCCTTCTCTCCAAGCCGAATAATCTTGACTTGAATTATTAGTGTAAAGCTTCCTCTCTCTGTTCTTCAACCCAATCTCTTTCCCTTCTCTCAAAACATGATCAAGATAAGTCGTTGTGATCATCTCTCTATACCGATTATGGAAACTCAAAGTCAAGTACCTTCTCTCGCTCGAATCAGCTTGATTATCACTCTTCCACACGCTCAAAGACCACACCACCTTCACACCTTGGAACACATCTTCAACAGCCTCGTGATCGTCCAAACTAAGCACCAAAGATTTGCTGTTTTTTGATTCATTAGCCTTTAACCTCTGAGCACGGGCCGTAGATTTCGAGGATAAGTAGTTGCGTATCAAATCATAGGCTTGGCTTTTCTTGAGACCTTTATCTTCTGTGTATTCAGTGAATTTGATGTGAACAGAAGTTGAGACCAAACCGAACATCTTGTAAAAACATTTCTCCAAGTAGTCTCTGAGTTGGTATGGCACAAACTGTCTGTACATTGACCAGAAGAACATAAGACTCGCCATGGTCGTGCCGGTGAAACCAAATAATGCTCCGGCTTCAAACATCTTTGTGTTTGTTTAATTCTCTTTGAGACTTTGAGATGTGTTTTCACTAATTATATATAGCCATGTTCTTTGATTCTTATAGGGATTTTTAGTCTTTAGTAGTTACAAAAAAGTAGGTCTTACGTTGGTTTGCTCATGCCAACGTGTGACTTGTTAGAGCCACTTAAATTCTTTTTTTTTTTTTCTTTTTTTGGTTGTTGATAATAAACAACTTAAATTCTTGTTCGAAAAATAATCAGGAAATCAAATAAATATCAATTCACATATATGTCGTGGAGAGAATCTTATTAGATAAAGTATCCGTTTCAAAATAACTTTGGAATATTGTAATAATCAAAAAAAAAAAAAAAAAAAAAAAAAAAACTTTGAGCATATAGCGAAAATAAGATTGTATTTAGCCTACTCTCTCTTTTTTTCCCCTTTCTTAAGGACAAAACTCTATTTATCCTACTCTAGTTACAACTTTCGAGTGTCCCATGAAATGCCACGAAATTGTATTGCCATTTTCATAAAAGGAAATAGATATATTATGCTGAAATTTGGGTTCGTATTAATAGTTCTTCCACATGACCATGACCACATGTAGTTTTCATGTTCTTGGGTACGAATTTGACTAAAAGTATTGAAACATTTTGGTTTATTTGCTTAATCATGAAGATACTATATATGAGCTTGGAGCTAGCCAGCTAGGTGTGAACAACACCAAACTGATTCCGAGTTTTGAGAAATTATGTAGCAAACAATAAAGTGTGGGTCATAGTCGTGATGTTAAGTTTTTGTCTTTAAGTTTACTTTTAATATTTAGTGTTAGAGCATCTCCAATGGTTAAGATTCAAGGGATTTTTAAGAAAATAAAAAATTCAAGTTGTTGCAAAAGAATGTTTTACAATACAAGTAACAATCAATAAAACACATTACAATGAATAAGTTAGTGCACACACATATACACATTAATGTGTTATCTTTAATGAGTTCAAACTTCTCCACAACTGGTATTTCCTTGAAATTGAACTACCAAAGGCTGCTTTATATATGTGTGTGTGTGTTTGGTATTAAAAAAATAGATTCATGAGTTTGGTGGATTGTTTTTACATTTTGAAGTAGTGAGAAAAGAGGAGAGTTGTCAAAGTGTACTGCTCACTCGACACAACCACAGCAGCAGCGATTTTAAGAGGAGAGATTTATAGCACCAGAAGTTCTATTAGCATTGGAACTTCAGTTTCTTCAATTTTGGCTGCCAAGGATAAACAAGCCACATCCTTGTTTGTCTTTTCTCTCGCCCATTCATATTGCGACACGTGCATGCATCTTAACACTAAAAAAACATCTTAGTTAAAACGTAAATCTTAGCCTCTTATTCATTTTTTATTTAATTTTAAATGCTTAATCCTAAGATACAATGCTAAGATATGGTCTAAGATTCACCATTGGAGCTGCTCTTATATATCCATCTTTTTACAACTCAATAGTCATTTTCAACGTTAAAGTACAATGTCACTATTTTTATCACAAGAAAAAATATTGGTATTGTCTTGTTTCACCGAAATATCCGGTTGGATGACGCAGAAGTAAACTAATAAAACAACTTTTCAGAGACTTGTGGGACATCGTACGAATTATATAATACATCTCTTTCAAACAATACTTAAACTCATTTTTGGATCTATCTTAATAAAGTCTACACACACTTTTGGTGGTCTTGTTTTGAATAAAATTGGGATCATTTGAGATCTCGAGGTTTACGAAAAATGAAGATACCTCCTTTAAGATGTTGGATATATAGGGATTTGGCCTTACCTCGTTGGCTGATTAAGCTGTGTGGGATTTAATTTCTTAAAGTATAGATTCTTTTGCTCTTCTTATCGAAAAAAAAAATCTTTTTTATGTTTTGTCTTGGCTCTCTACTCAATCTCCCTTT